CCCCAGCCTCCTGAGTAGCTGGGATTACAGGCACGCGCCACCATGCCCAGCTAATTTTTTTTGTATTTTTAGTAGAGACGGGGTTTCACCATGTTGACCAGGATGGTCTCGATCTCTTGACCTCGTGATCCACCCGCCTCGGCCTCCCACAGTGCTGGGATTACAGGCTTGAGCCACCGCGCCCGGCCCGCATTTAAAGTTTTTAATGGCTGAGAGGAAAAGGCTGAGGCCACCTGACAGGCCCATCTACAGCAGAAGGTAAGCCTCCAAACCCAAGCTCTTGTAGCAGCCCTGAGGCCGGCAGCCCACCAAACATCCGGTGGAGGGGGTCCATCGAAACCCTCCCAAAATTCTTCAAGGACCCCGCCTGGGCCCTGTTTCAAATGTGGCCAAGAGGGACATTGGGCACGGCAGTGCTCCTGTCCTCGTCCACCTCCCGGACCCTGCCCAAGCTGCAAACAGGCTGGACACTGGAAGATTGACTGTCCATCCCAGACTACGGGCTCACCCCCCACACCTCTATGTGAGGGGCAGGCCAGTCCGCAGGAAGCAATCCCTTCGCCTGAACTTCTCGGCCTTCTGGATGACTGACGCAGCCCGGACTTGAGGACCCCCATCACCCTTGCTGAGCCCAGGGTAACGCTACAGGTAGCGGGTAAGTCCATTTCCTTCTTAGTAAATATGGGGGCTACCTACTGTGTATTGCCTTCCTACTCAGGACCTAGCATACCTTCCCAGGTACAGGAATTAACAGCAAGCCTTCCTGTCCTAATCAAACCCATCCTTTAGCTTGTGTCCTCGAGAGACACCCCTTTTCCCACTCCTTTTTAATCATACCCTCATGCCCAGTCCCCCTTTTAGGATGAGACATTCTCCAGATGGTAGGGGCCACTCTCCAACTCACTGGCAGCCCATCATCCGCCCACCTCCTACTGCCACTCCTAACCGATGCCACGCCCTGTCTTAACTCCTCGCCCCAACCCCCATAATCAATGCTACACAAATCTCCAACCTTTTCCAGGCCTTATCATTGCCCAGGGAAGTTGCAGTCATACACTGCCGAGAACACTGGGCCCAGCATAATGCTGTCTCCCGGGGCAATACGCGGGCAGATACAGCAGCAAGATCTTTAACGCCAAGTTAACCCCTACCTGTTCTCTTACCACAGGCACACAGCCTGTATACTCACCATCAGAGAAATAGGCCCTTATACTAAAAGGGGGAACAGAAGCTAATCAGGGCAGGATCTTCCTAAATAACAGAATCGCCCTTCCCCAGGAACAGGCCCCTAAAATTATTGCTAAAATCCACCAATCCTTACATATAGGGCCTAAGGTGTATCACCACTTTGTACAGCCCCTCTTTTTCTCACCAGGTCTGCAACAAACAATTGAGCAGGTACACAAGGCATGCGTTGCTTGCTCTAAGGTCTTGCCTTGGGGAGGGTTAAGGCCACAGTCTCCTACTCACCAAATGCGTGGCAACCTACCGGCCCAAGACTGGCAAATTAACTTCACTCATATGCCCACTCACAAAAAGCTCCGCTACCTCCTAACTTTTGTAGATACATTTTCAGGTTGGATTGAAGCCTTCCCCACCTCCTGGGAGACAGCAGACACGGTGGCCTCCCTCCTTACTCAAGAAATCAACCCTCGCTTCGGCCCACCTGCCACCATCCAGTTGGACAACGGTCCAGCATTTACGGCCCAAGTAGTCCAGCTAGTCACCAAGTCCCTCAACATCTCCCGGAAACTGCACATCCCTTACCATCCTCAGTCGTCGGGTAAAGTTTAACGGGCCCATGGCAGCCTCAAAGACCATTTGGCCAAACTTGCTATTGAGGTAAAACTCTCTTGGCCCACACTCCTACCTCTTGCCCTGGCCCAGGTCTGGGCCACCCCATGGGGGCCAATGGGCCTTAGCCCCTTCGAATTGCTGTACGGCCAGCCTTTCCTGGTTTCTCACAATCTCCCTGTAAAACCGCCCCCACTGGCTTCCTACGTTCCCTTCCTCTCTCTTCTCTGCCACCTGCTTAGGAAGCACTTGGACTGCACCCTCCCTGTTGTTCCAGGACCAGAAGACCCCCACCCAGTGACGCCTCTCTGACCAGGCGACAGCGTTCTCCTCTGAGAGCTCGAACCAGGATCTTTGCAGCCCAGGAATCCTGGACTGAGGGCCCCACCACCAGGACCCATTATCTTGCACAGGCAAACTGCCAAACAGGTGGCTGTCAGTCTACTGTCTCCATCCTCATCCCACACGGTAAAAGCGCCGGACTTGGTCGCGATCATGGGTTTCACTTTCGGCACAGGCTGTGTTTTCTATATGACCAAACCAAGGACTACTGTCATTGGTGGAACACCACCTACGGGGGGTGCCCATACAGCTCTTGTGTTATTCACAAGCCACAGCCTCCAAGCCGTCCCAGTCACATGCTCACTCTCTTCAGCAGTGGTTCCTTAGCCCTCAACATCTGCGACCCCTGGCACAGCCGCTGGGATGCAGGAGTGTCCGGTAAAGGCTATGAAGATTATACCCGGCACCACCTTAACAGGTATCCCCTTGTTCAAAGTACACTCTCAAAATCTCTCTCTCTGCTATGGGACGGCCAGCAGCTCCAGCCCCAGCTGCAACACCACGGTAAAAGTAAAATCTTCCCTTTACGTGCCTCCAGAAGGATACTTTTGGGGTAATGGGGCCCTAACCAAAGTTATTAATGCCTCCTTTCCCTTCCCCTGTGTGCCTGTCACTTTGGTCCCGCAGCTAAAAGTGTACAGACAAGCCGAGCTCCTATCCCTCATCGCACCCTCCCCTAATCACCGAAGCAAAGGAGCTGTCTTCCTCCCAATAGTGGTTGGCCTCTCCTCAGCATCCTCTCTAGCAGCGGCTGGAATAGGAAGCAGCACCCTGGGCTACACTGTCACTTTAGCCACTCAACTGGAAGACAAGCTCCAAGTGGCCATTGAAGCGTCAGCACCTCCCTGGCCTCCCTCCAAATCACATCACTGGCCCAGGTAACTCTCCAAAACCAATGGGCCTTGACCTACTAATGGCGGAAAAAGGAGGTACCTGTCTGTTTCTTCAGGAACAGTGCTACTACATCAATGAAACAGGCCTTGTAGAAGAGCATGTCAACACTCTCTATTGCCTCCAAGAAGACCTCCGAAAGAAACAGAATGCACCAGCTTCGTCTCTCAACTGGTGGCAATCCCCCATGCTTACCTGGCTAACCCCTATCATTGCTCCCATTATCGTAATTTGTCTTTCGCTAATGCTAGCCCCCTTTTTCCTCACGTTTTTACAGGCCCACATGAAAGAAATTTCCAGGGTGGCCGTAAACTAGATGCTGCTTCACCCCTCTGTCCGACTCCCAACCGAGGTACCAGACAACTGACCCCTCCCCCTGACTCCACCCCTATTCAGCAGGAAGTAGCCAGAAAGAAGCGGCGTCCTATATCATCGAAAGGGTTGAAATGTAAGGCCGGTTGCCTTGCCAGGAGCTCGGACACGCCCATCCCTCTACGCGCTTGAAAACTACGTCACCACTCCCCGCTCGACATCAAGCTCTGCACTCGGCACCTAGCCCGCAGTTGGAAAACCCTGCCAAAATTTAAAAGAAGCCCTGCCAAAACCTGCCCAACAGCATTTTGCCCTGTCTAGGTCCCACTCCCCCTGGGCAGCTCGCTCGCTGGAAATCCTGCCTACCTACCAACGGCAGCTTGCCCCATCCCCATCCAAGTCCTGTTCCCTCATAGCCAATCAGGATATCCTCACTCGCTATAAAACCCCACACCTCAGGAAGTCAGGTACGACTTCCCTGGCCCCTTTACCCGGGACCATGGAACCATGCCCGGGAGCTAAATAAATTGGCATTTAATTTCCTTTACTGGCCTCAGTTTCCTCATTTTAAACTCGGCAATAACCCTTACAGTTGCCATTGTTATTATCTCGAAGCTCCCTTCAATAGGTAGTGTTAAATTATAATACTTTTCAATATACTTACAGTAACAAATGTTTTCTTGTTAAACTAATTTTGGCTTGAGGCTTTCTCTGTACTTGGAGTTCCTAGGTAGCAAACTGCAACCTAACATAGTATGTAAATAAAATTCCAACCTAACTTATGAGTATATTTTTGCAAAAACTAGCTGTCTCAGCCGATCAAAGCAGCTCGGCTTCAGCAATCACCGGTTGCCAAATGATCAGACCATGACCATATAAGACAAAAGCTTCATCACACTGTACCCAAATAAGGTAACTGCTAAGCTGTAACCAATCAAGCGATTTCTATACATCGTCTTGTTTTTCTCTGGACAAATGCTGTCTGCTCACTTTGCTGGGTGGAGCTCTCTGAACCTCTCTTGGTTCTAAGTGATGCTGGATTCATAAATCATTTTTTGCTCAAATAAACTAATTTGTCTAAAGTTTATCTTTTAACATTATTTAATCAAGAAAAAACATTTGTTTTATGAGAGCTGAATTATTAAACATTGATGAATCAGTAACAATGCTAATGTTTACTTTTCTAGCCATTAAACTTTTTAAAAGCTTATCAGCATACATTGATTCCTACTCGCTAGTTGAAGCATGTTCTGAAATTATTAAAAGAAGTAGCTCTTTGTATACCTTAAATAGGTCATTTTATATATGTTTTTTTCTTTTTTTTTTTTTTTTTTTTTTGAGACAGAGTCTTACTCTGTTGCCCAGGCTGGAGTTCATTAGCATGATCTTGACTCACTGTAACCTCCTCCTCACTGAACCTAAGGCAGGTTCAAGTGATTCTCCTGCCTTAGCCTCCCTAGTAGCTGGGACTACAGGCATGCCACCACTATGCTCAGCTAATTTTTTATGTTTTTAGTAGAGATGGGGTTTCATCTTGTTGGCCAGGCTGGTCTCAAACTTCTGACCTCAAGAGATCTGCCTGCTTCTGCCTCCTCCCGTGCTGGGATTACAGGCATGAGCCACCCTGCCTGATTGATCATGATATTTTTAAAAGCAATTTAACATAGTATGGTAAACAGCTATCATTGCCACAGAGAAATGAAGGTGAATCCTGCTACTCGGTCATTGGAAGTGGGGAATAAGAACAATAAATAAAGTCAATACTGAACAAGAAAGGTAGAATTTGGAAGCTACAGTAAAATCTATGTACAAAAAAAATGATTTTAAAGTTTTATCTCCAGAAGAAAAGTTATTAGAATTTTTAAAAAATTCATTAATAATTTTAAGATGAGAAAATTTCAATTAATCTAATCTGTACCCTAATGGTGGGCAAGATTTTATTCTGTTTTTAAAGCTATCTAGAAAATAAATATTATTCCTTTCATTTAACTATTAGAAGTCTTGCTATATTATGAAACATATCTTATTTTACTTTGCACCCCCAAGATGTAAGGTTATATAGAACCTAATAAAAGTGACAAATAAATATTCACTGAATCGAAACCAAGACTCCTCATGGGTGATCAAAACACAGCTCTCAAAATGGCTGCCCAGACTCTATATAACTTTGGTAGTTATACAAACATTGTGTAGGTTTGTTCAGAAGAAATGGAACAATTAAGACATGATATGGCCTCTGTTTCTGCCTTTGATTCATCTTTGTTTTCCATTGTCATGTTACCATACCTTTCTTATTCTCTACATAATAACACATCACTTTAAATGTATTACCTATTCCCCTTTCTAATGTGGCATGAAAATCCTACCACTTCATCTTCGTGTTTACATCAAGCAATTTAGAGGTCATGTCTTATAATGATCTGGGGGAAAATATGCATCATGAAAACATTCTCTCTCTTAATTAGGGACTCTCAATGACTAGTCCAAAGTAACTTTCCAGGAAAGGCAGAGACAAATATATTTCCCTGGGTACTGTTAGTTTATGAATTCTTATTTTTAGGACAATGAGTACATATTTTTAAAATCTACTAGTAGTACTTTTACTTTATGACAATAATAACTATACCTTATAAAAGGTCGTGTCACAGCAAGGATGGTTCTGATGAACCAAGACGGATGAACAATGATGAATGATTTCAAATTCTTCCGTAACCTATTTTGAAAAAAGAAAAAATACATTACTCTTAGCCCATTTTCAGTGGGAATTAAACATAAAACATATTCCTAAATACAAATATTTATAATTTAGGCTGGGCGTGATGGCTTATGCCTGCAAATCCAGCACTTTGGGAGGCCAAGGTGGGCGAATCACCTGAGGTCAAGAGTTTGAGACCAGCCTGGCCAACATGTTGAAATTCCATCGCTACTAAAAATAATTTTAAAAAAATTAGCTGGCGCCTATAGTCCTGGCTACTCAAGGGGCTGAGCCAGGAGAATCGCTTGAACCCAGGAGGTAGAGGTTGCAGTGAGCTGAGATCACACAACTGCACTCTAGCCTGGGTGACAATGAGATTCCAACTAAAAAATATATATATATATATATTTTAGGGAGTTTTATGCAAGTTACTATTACCTGGTGGGAATATATAGAATGGCCATGATTAATGACAAGAATGATTTTTGAGACATAATTTGAAACTTGTATGATTTGAACCTCATTTTGTCATAGAAATAAATGTAAAATAGAATGGTTGTGTTCTTAGAGTATATACATCTAGTGGCTAACTTGAACTGACAGCGAATGTCGAAATAAGAGCACAGTGGTTCTCCAAATCACAATAGTCCCAGTTCACATAAATGGCAGCAAGGTCACATGATACCACTAAAGAATCAGGGGTATTTTGGTTTATCAGCTCAAGTTGCACCTTCCTGTGGCAACAGCACATGCATAGTTTAAAACAGACTTGGTCTGCCAGGTTTGAATTACATTTAATAAAATCTAGGGGGGAATTGCTTTATTTCAACTTTTGGGCATCAACTCACACTTTTATTAATATTACTATAATTTATTGTTTTAAATACACATAACTCAATGTTTCTAAAATGTGATCACATTTTTAGTAGACCAAAAGAGAATACAATATGGTTACTATTGAGGAAGTCAAAATAGTGATTAAATAATAGAGCCCACATACCGTCTGTCAATCATCTGGTAGCATTTCTTCATCCAGCCTAGCCCTGGCATCTTCCGTCTTGGGGTTGCACCATTCAAGTACACGATCATATAGTCTTCAGCAACCATCAACTCTAAAGTACTTATTACATATCTGATCACAGGAAGGAAGAGGAATGTTTTCAGTTCCCACATAAAATATTTCATGTGATTGACACCATAATTACATAACATTAAAAGTACAGGGTATATGAAATTTAAGAATAGTTGTGCCCATTATCTCTTTACCTTGGGAAGAATACAGTTGCCTAAGAGCATTCCTCTGACAGTATTACTCATTTATTGGTATGGTTACCTATTTTTTAAATGTAGGTACACTAGAAAAATGTATGGGTTAGAAAGAATCCTGACTTTCAAAAATGTCAACAATGTTATCAAATATTAAGGGTAACTCAGGTTAAATAAGGGCAGATATAAATGAAGTCAGGTTATAGTCAGTCTTAGCTGACGAAGAACATGTATCAAGGAACAAAAATAATACTTTGCCCAAAGGAAATGTTACAGAATTTTAAAATGCAAGCAAAATTCTGTTATTTTGCTTTTAGTCTATTCTACTGACAAGAGCCCCTTTAAATGTTTTAGGCCCTTGAGCAACATTCTTTGACAGAGACCTTACTGACTTTTGATTGAAGACTTAGAATATTCTACATCATCTATCTTCTTTAATTAAAGATGCTCTATTTGCCATTACATGCCACAGACATTAACTCAAAGCACTTCGTTGTAAGTATCACTCACAGGAAAAGATTTTCCATGACATAGTGGTAATCCGCCCGACTGCTGTCTGGCAGAAAACAGGCGGCAAACACAATGATGGCATTTAGACCGTCCCCATAGTATCCTGGGGGACAAACAAAAAGACATTTGTAACCAATTGAAAGCTCTTAACAAGGTAATATCTGACCTAATGGATAAAGCTGAAGCCTTGGCAAGTGTGTCTTTGTGGATATATTAGCTACATGAAATGGGGATTGACTATAGGGCTGTAGTATATACACATATACTACACACATATCTTTCAGTGGTGAACATCTATGTTTATAGAGTGTTAAATATACAGTGCAATTATATTTGCATATGTAGGCTATTCATATATCACGGACGATTATATGTGTTGTACACAGTTGTGAATAATAGGGTGTATAAAAATATAACAAATGAGAGGGCAAGACTGATTTATGAATGTCTGATTTCTATAATGCTAATATATACGTACTTATACGACTTCTTTCTTCTGATGGCTAAGAAAGATACTCTGTTTGATCCTCTTTAGTTCTTTTTAGTTTTAGACACTGCTTAATTTTAAGGGAGAATTTAGCCACTGAACTGCAATGTAATCTCTGACTCACACACTCCAGTGATCAAATACTAGTGAGTAGACAAGTAAAACATCTTGATTTTGATGTTGAGGCCCGTAGTGCCCCTGGGATCTACAGACAGTGTAAGAACCCATGGCCTTGCTCTGTCCAACATGTTACTGCCATGTAATCGCCAGTGGGTATTTAGAGTTCTGAAAAAAACTAACACATTGGGTTCTGGAGGACTAGATCAGGCTTAAGCATATGTCCTGTCCTCCTACTCAAAGCCTGGAGGAAATCTCTATTTAATGATTCTACAGTCCAGAACTATATGACACAACAAACCCATAACTGGGTATATTTTTAGGCATATCTTTCCCCATCTTTTTTGCAGAGGAGTCACTGTCTTTTTGTAGAGAACATCTTATTAAACTGCTTTTCAAGAGCTAATTAACTCCATCCAAATCTATATGCACCCCAGCCGGGTGTGGTGGCTCAGGCCTGTAATCCCAGCACTTTGGAAGGCTGAGGTGGGTGGATCACTTTAGGCCAGGAGTTCAAGACCAGCCTGGACAGCATGGCGAAACCCCATCTCCATTAAAAGTAAAAAAAATTAGCTGGGTGTGGTGGCACCTGCCTGTAATCCCAGCTATTTGGGAGGCTGAGGCAGAATGGCTTAAGCCTGGGAGATGGAGGTTGCAGTGAGCCAAGATCACGCCAGTGCCCTCCAGCCTGGGTGACAGAGCAAGATTCTGTCTCAAACAAACAAAACAAAACAACAACAACAAATCTATATACAGCCCACATTTTACTGCCGTGTAATCATCCCGTGAGTAGAGTTCTGAAAAAACCAACACATTGGGTTCTGTTAAGGGGCTAGATTCTGAATTCTGTGAAGAGGAAGAAAACTACTTCTTGTAAGAGAAGGAAAACTAAAAATGGGTCTGGCTAAATTATATTTCAGTCGTATGAAATTCTGTACTTGCCGGAAAATTTGACAATTGCTTCCTAGTAACATGGGACGGAGGGGTAGAGGTGCTACCTCCAGGTGGTGCAGAGAAACTAGTAGGCGGGAAAAGCAGGCGGTGTGGCCACTGAAACTCCAGGGGTCAAAGAACATGTAGATGCATTTCAGGGCACCATTCCCCATCTTTTGAAAGCCCCGGCATCATTTTGGAATTGCCCTGTCTTTTAAGCAAGCTTACCATTTCCCATAGTTTCTTTGAAACTCAGCAGGTGTCAGTCAGACTCCCAGAGGCAGCTATACGGAATGTCATGTGTCTTTCCCACTTAAAAAGGGAAGCAATGTCTGAATTTTTATTTTTTAGTATCCCTGTCTAAACAATTGCAATTTATGTCATATAGTTCTGGACTGTAGAATCATTAACTAGAGATTTCCTCCAAGCTTTGTGTAGGACCTAGACAGGATACACTTAAGCCTGGTTCAGTCCTCCCAGAAACCAATGTGTTAGTTTTTTCACAACTCTAAATATCTACTAGTGATTACATGGTAGTAAAGTACTGGCTGTGTATAGATCTGGATGGAGTGAATTAACTCTTGAAAAGCAGTTTAATAAGATGTTTTCTACAAGAGAATGTGACTCTACTGCAAAAAACGATGGGGGAGGAGAGTAATACTGATTAAAAATATACCCAATTATGGGTGTGTGTGTATTACTAACTTAAGGTAGTCGTATACAATTTTTACACTACTTGTGGTGATACAATATTGTTGTATACAGTATTTATACTACATATCTTAGAAGATGCTACCTACGTATGTCTTCAACTCATGTAACACATGTTTGTGGGAGAGCAACGTAGGAGCTTCTCTCTGAATGTTTTTGCTTTAGTTCCGTCTTTTCCAATATACAGGTATTTATCAACTACTTTTTAGAATGCAAGATGAAGGAAAATGGCAGGAGGAGATATATTTTAATATAAGAATTGCTTGTTAAAACAAATAATTTCATTTCTGAAGAATGCATAACTAAATGGAAATCCACAAAGGATATGGTGGCTTAGCTATCCTAATCCTCACATCACAAAGATAAACAGTTCATCCTCAGCACGATGAAAAAACAAAAGTTCATTAAAAGAGACAACAGACATAATGAATCCAACTTAAAAGCAAGTAAGAAAGCATCCTTTCAAAAGTCTTTCTAAATGTAGCAGTCTGGCTCCAGAGTGTTACTGTAATTTCACTATCATGATTGCTCAGTTACTTTGACTTCTTTATTGCCAGAGAACTTCTAAGAAATTTTTTTTGAAAGGGAAAGACCGAGGTTTGTCAACAGTACTTCAGACGTCATTTTAAATGGCAGTTCAGCTCACTGTGTAAATGCAGTCTGCCCTTTGAATGTTGTAGCATCATGTTCATCTGAGTTCATTCAACTAAGGGAACACTATGGGATCAGCTTACTACTTCATGATTGCTGTCTAAGTAAGAAATGTCTCAATATGAAAAGTACTGAAATTTAGAAATGAAAATGGCTGTTTGTACTTTTTGGTAGAGGAGCTTTAAGAAGGGAAGAACAGCCAAAAAGAGAAGGAAGAAAATAGGAGGAGAGGAGATAATTAAAGAAGGGAAATAAAAAGATTCCACAGAAAAATTTTCCTTCTAAATCAAGAGCCAGTGCCATTGGTAGGCTTGGGAGATATTTCAGATAATACCTTAATTTTTCTGTAGCTGCTTCCTGCTAAAAAAAATTTAAAGTTAAAAAATCAGATAATGCTATAATTGCAGGCAAAGTTCAATAACTAGAATTCGTAGGATCATTTACTTTTTGCCCCTCCCAAATACCTTGGAGGGGGTCAGCTAACCCCTCAATTTCTATTCTCAAGTATGCAGCTTACTCAAGTAAAGTTTCCTGTTGGCAACAGCATAATTCATTTGAAGTCTGATTTTAAAACATTTATTTCATTAGACTCTCTTCCCAATAAAGGTGAGGTGAATTCAGGGTGTATATGCTGGGTAGGGTGCCTGAGCAACCCAACCGGGCATCTCCTGAGACCCTCTGAAGCCAGGACGCAAACCTTACCTGAGTGACACAGACAGGCATGAAAGGGATGTAACACAAGTTTGCTGGCCAGCAAATGGAATGGAGACAGAGGAGAGATGTCACAGTCGCAATCAAAACACACACACACACACACCAGCCAGTGACTCTTCTCCTCATTATTTCCAGGGTCATTTGTCCAGCAAGACTGCAGAGAAGGTTACCTGTATCTCCTATAATGAAATAAGTGAAAAAAAAAAAAAAAGAAAAAAAAGAAAGAAAGGAAACTCCTTGTTAACATTATTTGGGGTGATTGTTCTCCATTATTTAAATGAGTTTCTCTGCTCCAAGTTAAAAAAAAAAAAGCCTCAGAGGGACCCCATATTGTTGGCTGAGCAAAACCATCCAAATCCCACTTTTATTTATGTAGATGGCAGAGATATTGTTCATGGGCTCATTGAGGCCCAGAGAAGATAAGTAATGTATCAAGGTCACAGACTAGTAAGTGGCAGAGATAGGTTTTGAGCCTCATTCTTCTACATTGTATGCAGGGCCTCTGGCAGTAGCTCATATCAAGGTCACCAATGCTGAAGACTGAATTACTTATTCAAATACTGCCATCATGCCACCAGTATTCTCAACAGGTGGGACCCTTGGCAGGGCCTGGCTTTGGGGCTAACTTCTGAGCTCTTTGGATCGCCTCTGCCTTACAGTTTTCGGCATAGAACGCTGTGCAGCTGATACTTCTCTTGGCCTGAATGAGAAAACTTCCTCACAGCAAAATGCCAAGCAGCCAACAAGATTCATGTTCACTGTGAAGTGACTGCTGCTTTTTAAATGCTCGTCAGAAGCCAGAAGGACAAACTCAGTAGGTTGGTAAGTAAGGAGCTTTCTCATCATTATGGTCTAAGAGAGTGGTGTAAACTCCCAAAGTGGAAGACAAAGCTTTGGCAAATTCAGAAGTAACATCTCAAGTATCTTTACCTACAGAGCACAAAAGCCGGTCAGGGTGTAGGAAAAGGTGGCATCTCGCTAAAGTTCCGGATGGGTTTAGGCAGAGGCACGTTTCATGCAGGCCAGTGCCTGGAGAGGGCCGAGGCAGGGCTGGGGTGAGGGGAGGTGGCCTTCTCATCAAAACAAATCAGACAGTCACACAGACAAAAACTGAGCTTGCAACATAGAATGGAGAAGAGAAACGCCAAAGGGCGGAGGTGGCAGGGACAGAGAGCACAGCAAACCAGGTTAGCCCTGAGGCCTCAGGTGAATTGTTACAAGGACTGTGACAAGCAGAAGCAGTGGCATTTTCTGACCATCAGTGCTCTCATGATATTCACTCTCTCCTGATTTGGACAACAGACTGATGGGCTTGACCACGGCACCCAAGCCCACCTAAAGAACAAGCAGACAAGTCTACTGGATATTAGCAGACAACTAGCCCTAGGAGAGCAGCAGGACCGTGAGCTGCCTTTCAACACAGGGACTCTCCATGTAAGAGCTGATGGTAAAAATATTTATAGGGCTTATCATTGGGTGACTTTGATTTGACAGACATTTTAATTTTTTAATACTTTAAAAAATGAACAGAGTACTCTTACAGGCAGCCTCTGTTTTATTTTTATTTTCAAAAACAAAACAAACCAAAAAAATACTTGATAGGTGGTGCAAAGGAGATGGGGAAGACTGGGTGTTCCTCTTATGGTTTTCACATAAAAAACAAAAGGGTTGACTCTACAGCCAGCTATCTGTCACTTTCAGCAAGATTGGGCCAAGTCTCATTCCAAAGGGCTGTGGGCATGATCTCCCTTAGAGGAAACTGCCCCGACTCCACAGCAGCGATCAGGGGGTCCTATTTCCATTTCAGGTCAAACAGTAAGGCAAGAAAAAGAAAAGTCCTGGCCAAGGGTGGGGACTGGCATTCCCCTTTGCTACAGTGGTCAGGTTCCCTGGGTGGTCTTGATACTTACGTGGGGGGTAGCAATGCATGGGATGGAAGGTGAAAAATCTGCTGGCAGAGGAAGGTTTGATTGAAATAACAAAACATCCTCTGCTTGTCATAATAGAAAACAAAAGCAGTGTTCTACTGCAGTGCCAAGACTGTTGTTTCCCTGTCCTCATTAAGGAAGAGTGAATTGAGAGGGCAACAACTGCCTTGTCAGCTCACACTCCTTCTAGAACAGCTGGGTGGTTACAGCGGTGCCTCAGGACTTCAGGAAAGGAAGGCAGGAAGCAGAAAAATCAAAACGCTGTCGATGTTTTCTGAAGTCGACAACGTTAAACGTGTTGCTTGCGCTCATCTGACTTTGTGTGAATCCCAAATTAACCAAGGCCACATATGCTCCAGGAGCCCTTGAGAAAGTGCTGGAAACACACAAAACGCACTTTTCTCTCTCTCTTGGCTCTCGCCAAGCAGGTAGAGGCTTTGACTGGGGTTGCTAGATTTACCGCAGCTTACAGAAAGGCAAACTTCAGGTAGGGGGAACAATTACCAAGCTGAGTCTAAAAACATCCCCAAAGCTTCTGAAGAGGACTGAAAAGATCATTTTGTAATGAGAAGCAGCTCAGGCATAGTGTTATGATACAGGCCATGGTGTCATCACTCTATTTGGTTCAACCCTACAATGGACTGGTAAGAATCTCAGACAGACATCTAAATTAGACAACTATGGCTTTCAGTCAATTTGCACAGAAGATGATAGCTATCACATAAGCAGCATGAAAAGCCTGTTTTATATTGGCAAGTTGTCTTTGCCTAGTAGGATTTCAAATGTTTACTGAATTGAATATGAGGAAATATACTTGGCTCTATGGTTCCCTGATTATTGACTCTAGAATAGGGCCCTTGAGATGTGGTTTTCCAGAGAACTCTAGACTCAATTTCTGATTTTAAATAAAATGGCTGCCCCTTCCCCCATTTCCCAGATTCACACAGAGCTAGACTACCCCCTTCCCCCATTTCCCAGATTCACACAGAGCTTGACTACCTCCGTGAGAAATGACTCTCCGGTAGGGCTCGATAACCTTCATGTCAATGCGCTGCTCTTGTTCTCCAATCACCACTGTCCTCCACAGCCGGTTGTCCTCCCTTTCCTCTTCAGCCGTATATTCTGGAATAGACTCTGACTCTTGGCCAGAATCTTTGTTGGTTGTGGGATCTTCTGGAAACAAAGCATAGAGCAGGGCTGAAGGAGCAAGTCCTCCACAGTGCAGGCAGCTAAACAGCAAATTGTAAGCTACATCCTGCAGAATCAACCTGATGGAAGTCCTTGTTTTTTACAGCTTTTACAGAACTTAGCACTATCCTGACCACATAAAGTATGCTCAGTGAAGTCTTTTTTATTAACTGAACAACCAGATCGATCGCTAAGGCCATGCTGAGTCAGACTAGGTGCAACGCTTGAGCTGTCTTGCATGGGTGGTGGTCCAGGGTGTGCGTGAGACAGGACCAGCTCATCCTTGATTGGGGTAAAGATTGCAGGTCTTTCTAATGGTGTGAAAGGTTGTATATTAGGCTGAGAAAATCTTGGGGTTTGGAGGCCACACCTCTTCAGTGTTCAGAATCTTTTGGGGCCCTCAACTTGGAATTGTGATGATACTACCAGTCAAGACTCCTACTCTAAGACTCTTACAACTGGGCTAAGCCTCCTGTTGGGAGCACACCTGGACATAAATTTGATATTTCTATTTACTGTTTCAAAATATGCCACACAAAGATTTTACAGTAAGTGAGAAAATACTTTGTAAAGCAGAAATGCTTCAAGACCCGAAATGCACAAGATTCTTAAACTGATGGGTACGTAAGACAATAAAAAAGCCTACTGAGCATTCTCTGGGAAGAAATTTACTCTTGTGCATTCAAAAAAAGGTAACCACTTTTTAAAAAAATAAGCAGCAATTGTTTCCACGTTTACTAGAAGTATTAGTAGAGAATAATGAAGGTTTTTTGTATGTTTAAGTAACTTGCAAGAAAAGATTATTTATAACCTTCACAATAATCCCAAGATATTATCATTCTTATTTTTCCATTCCTGGAAAAGCATCATTGAATTTACACCGCATTTCACTTCTTTCTATGGCACTTTGATGATAATAGCACTATTGTATTAAGTATTGACCTTGTACCAGGTACTAGGTCATTATACCAATGCAAAAACTGATTCTGAAGTAGCTTGCCTCAGATCACAGTTACTAAGCAAATACAGTCAAAACCTTTAACTTTTTTAGCCCTTCTAACCTATCACATTGTACCTTAAGTGTGTGACTCTCCTTATTTATTTTACGAAGTGGCTGTGAGTCCCTTGGGCTAAGAAACTGTGCCTTGAATCCCTTTAATATTCACTTCCACCAACCCACTCGCTACTTAGCCTGCAAACTTAACAGAACACTCAAAAACAATTGGGAAGGTGAGTGAGTAAATCAAGGAAAACTTGGATAATTTCCTGAAAATAGAGGTAATCTATAAGGGAGCCACAACACCACCATTATCTTCTGGAAGAATCTGCAATTATACATTCAGAAGTATCTAATTACCAATGACTGAGATAGTGCAATTATACATTCAGAAGTGTCTAATTACCAATGACTGAGATAGCAAAATGAAGTTCGGTTGGGAAGCAATCCCAGCCTTTTTTGCCAACACCAACAGCCACCACCACCTACAGAGCCTTGGCTCACTCAGGCTTCCACTGTGTTCCCACCAGCATGTGGCAGCTTATCAAGGACAGACCATAAACCACTGGCTCCAGACCAAGCACTGTGTCCTTTGTGCAAATCCACCCATCTGTCTGGAAGCTCTTCCTGCTTCTTCCTATGTGAGTTAGGACCCTAGGATGCCAATCTTAGCTCCCTTCCTGGGACTCAGTTTCCCATCTGGTCTCTACTCCCTCAGAACTCTGGATTCTGAAGCAGGTTTGTCTTCTGATGCTCTTTTACACACCCTCCTTTCCCTCCAGGGAACTTTCCATCCACCAGACCCTCTTCATCCTGTTTGGTATCCTCTGGCCTGCACTAGCTCTACCCTGGTCATTTCTGTGGGATGAAGATATGGTTGTTTTGTTTTCTGCAAATTTTATTAAAATTCCCTCATGTAAAAAATTTCTGGTTGGGCATAGTGGCTCAAGCCTGTAATCCCAGCACTTTGAGAGGCCAAGGCAGGTAGATTGCTTGAGCTAAGGGGTTTGAGACCAGCCTGGGCAGCATGGCAAAACTCAGTCTCTACAAAAAAAAATACAAAAATTAGCTGGGTATGTTGGCATGTGCTTGTAGTCCTAGCTAATTGGGAGGCTGAGGTGGGAGAATCATGTGAGTCCAGGAGGTTGAGGCTGCAGTGAGCTGTGATGGTGCCACTGCACTCCAGTCTGGGTGACAGAGTGAGACTTTGTCTCAAAAAAAAAAAATTGTATACTACATTCTTTGTTATGGTTATAGTAAAACACATATCACGTAAATATAGTCAACTGATCTTTGACAAGGAGCAAAGGCAATCCAGAGAAGCAAAGGCAATACAGTAAAGCAAAGATAGTCTTTTCAACAAATAGTGCTGGAATAACTGGCTGTCCACCTGCAAAATAATGAATCTGGACTCAGGCCTTTGATCCTTCACAAAAGGTAACTCCAAATGGATCACAGACCTAAATGTAAAATGCAAAACTATAAAACTTTTAGAAGAAGAGAAAATGTCATTGGCCCTAGGTGCAAAGATGACTTTTTAGATAAAATACCAAAGGCATGATCCATGAAAGAAATAATTGATAAGGTGGACTTCATTAAAATTAAAACTTCTACATGAAAGACAAAGAGAATGAGAAGACAACAAACCATAGACTTGGAGAAAATATTTACAAAACACATATCTGATGAGGACTGTTATTCAAAATATACAAAGAATGCTTAATACTCAACTATAAGAAAATGGGCAAAAGACCTGGACAGGTACCTCACAAAGAGGATATACAGGTGACAGGTAAGCATGTGAAAAGATGTTCCATATCATGTGTGATTACAGAATTTTGAATTAAAACAATAGCAAGATACCACTACCTACCTAAATGGCCCAAATCCAGAACACTGACACCAAATGCTGGTGAGAACGCAAAGCAACAGGAACTCGCTTTCATTGCTGGTGGGAATGCAAAATGGTCCAGCCACTTTGGAAGAATGTGGCAGTTTCTAACAAAATTAAACATACTCTTAACTTACAATCTAGCAGTCATACTCCTTGGTAATTACCCAAATGCACTGAAAATGAATGCCCACACAAAAGGCTACACATGTATGTTTATAGCAGCTTTATTCATAATTGCCAAAACTTGGAAGCAACCAAGATGTCCTTCAGTAGGTGAATAAACTGTGATTCGTCCAGACAGTGGAATATTATTCAGCATTAAAAAGGAGTGATCTGTCAAGCCATGAAAGGATATGGAAGAACTTTAATTGCGTAAGTGAAGAAGGCCAGCCTGAAAAAGCTACCTATTGTATGAGTCCAACTACGTGGATTCTGGAATAGGCAAAACTATGGAGACAGTAAAAGCATCAGTGATTGCCAAGGGTTGGGAGAAAGGAAGAAATAGGCAGAGCACAGAGAATTAAGACAGATAAACTATTATGTACAATACTATAATGGTGGATACATGCTGCCACTGTACAGTTGCTCAAAGCCATAGAATGCACAACACAAACTGAACCCTTCAGGTAAATTATGGACCTTGGGTGATAATAATGTATCAATTAAGGCTCATCAATTGTAACAAACCAACCATTTTGGGAATGGAGATAGTGAAGGAGGATGAATGTGTGTAGAGAAACAGGGTACAGGAAAACTCTGTACTTTCCACCCAAATATGCTGTGAACCTAAAGTTACGCTAACGAATAAGTTCATTTTTAAAAAGTAAACCACATTAATGAAAGTGCCAGCAATACAGAAATTCTTCATGAAAACAATAAAAATCACCAATGCCACGAATCTATTACTACGTGATGTGTATCACTCTTCCTCTGCACATACACAGACATGTTTATTTTTCAAAAAGTATGATTATCCTATATATTCTGCATGTTCTATACAGATTGTTCTATTAAAATAGTATAGGTTTGAGACCAGCCTGGGAAACATGACAAAACCTCCTCTCTACAAAAACAATACACCAATTAGCTGGGTGTGGTGGCACACGCCTGTAGTCCCAGCTACTCAGGAGGCTAAGGTAGGAGGGTCACCTGAGCCTGGGAGATCAAGGTTGCAGTGGGCTGAGATGCCACTGCACCCCAGCCTAGCTGACAGAGTGAGGGTCTGTCTTTATACACATATACACACACATATATTTTAATACATATTTACGTATATATTATATAATATACAATGTATATATATTTATACATATATGTATATATGTATGTAACATTACATTATATATACATATGTATACATGTGTGTATATATAATATATAATATAGTATACTATATATATTCTCTCTATATAGAGTATAGACTTCTTGTCTCAATAAATATAAATCATGCTCATTTTTAAAAGTAGCTCTCAAGTATTCCATTTTGCTGATGTCTTTTAGTTTACCAATCCCATGGTGATGAAATGTAGTTTTACTTCTTTTTGTTGTTGTTCTTTATAAAGAATTTGCTTCAGTAAGCATCTGCATGAAGGTATCTTACCTTATTTGTATACATATTTCTATAGGGGAACTTTCCAGCCATGCAGTGCTGGGTCAGCAGGTATAACCACTTAAAGTTTTGGGGATGTTTTTGCCCTTCAATATACTACACCAAAATATAGGAGAGGGCTGGATTTCCCCCTATTGTCAAGAACATGATAGGCTATCAAAGTTTTCAACCCTTGACAATTTCAGAGGAAATGATCTCGTTGTTTTAATTTGAATTTCTTTAATTATTAAAGAAGGTAAGCACTTTTCACTGTTTATTGGCTATTTACATCTCTCTTACTGACAAGAAGCTACCTTTAAAGCCCTTTTCCTATTGTGGTCCTTATTAATTAGTTGCAGTTTTTGTATAGAACTTCGTTATGTGTCATAATATATTTTTTTTGGTCTTGTGCTTACCCTGTAATTAGCTTTTAAATGTATACCCATCTTTTCCTGCCAAATAGAAATTCAATATTTTTATGTAGTTGAATCTGCTAACTTTTTCTTTATGTTTTTTGATTATGGTATCATAGTAAGAAAGGACATCTCTACATTAAAAGCATGTATGTGCATACACAGACACTCCTATCAACATTTTCCTTTAAAGACAGCATCATTGCTTGTTTTGGTGTACAAGTCCAGGGCTGGACCTTTTTATGGGGTGTAATTCCTAATGTTTCAGAGAGTGAAAGCTTGCAAGTTACTAGGGTTCCTCCTTCCTTTCCTCTTCTGGCTGATGTAAATGGAGGAAAGAGTTATCTAACAGTTAGGGGTACATTAAGTTTTCTTAAGCTGTTCATTTCTAGAAGTCAACAATACAAGCTAGTAAGAAGTAAAGATAGCTTTACTGACTTTCTGGTATTAGCAAGACCCTCCTGATCTTCATAATTCTTTTGCTCTAACTACAAATTACCATCTTCCCCACAACCTTCATTTTCCCACTGTAAGGCTGGTTTGCCTCGCCAGGAGCTTGGACATGCCCATCCCTCTCCAGGGAAAAAACTATGTCACCACTCTGCGCCCAGCACCAAGCCCAACACTCAGCACCTAGCTCCGCCACGTAGCTCCCCCAATGCCCATTTCTGCACTCAGCACCCAAAATCTGCACTCGCCACTAGGGTCTGCACTCAGCACCTAACCCGCAGTAGAAAAACCCTGCCAAAACGTAAAAGAAGCCCTGCCAAAACCTGCCCAATAGCAGTTTGCCCCGTCCACGTCCTGCTTCCCCCTGGGCAGCTCGCTCACTGGAAATCCCGCCTACCTACCAATAGCAGCTTGCCCTGTCCACGTCCTGTTCCCTCATAACCAATCAAGACACTCTACTCCTCCTCACTTGCTACAAAAGCCCCATGCCTTGGGAAGCCATGCGCAACTTCTCTGGCCCCTTTCCTGGACCATAGAACCTCGCCCGGAGCTGAATAAATTGGCATTCAATTTTCGTATACTGGCCTCAGTTTCCTCATTTTAAACTCAGCAATAACCCTTACAAGTGGTGCCGAAACCTGGGAGGAGTTGTAAGACCCCTCCTCAGGGAAACTGACTCTTCCACCCGAAGCCCAACCAGGGAGCCACTCTGCCATTAGGCAAGACTTCTGTTACCCATAACCTCTCCTGCTGCTTGCTTCGTGGATTCCCTGTCTGTAATCATGGTGGCGTCAGGGACTCCTTTCGCCATGGGCCCAGGGCCCCGGCCCCATTCCAAGGACTTGAGCGTATAGGAGACGTCCCTACATTCTTGTCTTCTCGCCCCATAAGAGAGTTTCTCAGGGTCAGGAATTTGAGGGAGACATCCACACCTTCCTGAACCCTTCTGCTCGGTGGTGTGGCCTGGAGTCGCCCTTCCGATCATCTCTGTGGCAGCGGCCGAGGTTTGGGCAGTCAGAAGCCCCGTTTGCAAACTCGGGCCCTGCCCAGGAGCAGGACTGAACCCCCAGCTCGCACCACTAAAACGTCTATCTCAAACTAGCCCTTTGGCATACCAACTCCCGTTTATAAGGTAACTGTACCTTCAGTTTCTCTTCCTAACCCCTGCACGAGTGAGTGAGTGAGTGAGTTTATGTGTAGTCCCATGGCTGAACGGCTACGGGGCTTGTGTGGACCTCAACCCATGGTTCCATGGGGACATCATAAGGCATAATGGTGATTCACCTCAGGACTGAAAGTTCTGAGGTGACCAGGCCCAGGGGTTATACGGGTACACCTTAGCCAAGATGCCCCATCCCTTTGGGGATGTGGCCAGGAAGGCATCAGACTGGTCTCCCATCTGGGGGGCACCCATCCTTTGTTCGTCAATCCTATATGTGGTTCTGTCTTTATTGTAGATTCGCCAGTTTTGTTAGACTCCTGTTAGCTGATATACAGTGGGTTAGGCCTGCTTCCCTAGAGGTAAAAGATACTCTACAGTGGGTAACAGGCCACTGGCTTCAGGGAAACTTTACCGAATTCACGCCCCTAGAAATAACTCTGTTCTCCTTTTTCCTCTTACTCTTCCTCTACCACTGAGGTCTTACTTCCTCCAATTTTTCCATGTGGCAGATAACCTTAGCCCTGTGTCTTTTTTATTTTCTTTCTTATTATAATCATTGCAGCCTGTAGGTTCTCTTAGCCACCCCCTCCAGGAAAGAAGTATTTCTGCCCATGTCGGATATAATATCTTTTCATAACCCTTCCTCACCCCTAACTACCCCGCAAAAAAGAGTGAACTATGGGTAATCAGGAGTCCCGCCTAGACCCCAAGTCGCCATTGGGATGTCTAGTTCAAAACTTACCCAAACTGGGTCTTTCCATAAAAAAGAAAAGGCTGCTCTTCCTCTCCACCATGGCCTGGCCACAGTATCCTCTGGACAACCAGTCTAAGTGGCCTCCAGAAGGCACACTCGACTTCAATGTCCTGACAGAGTTAGATAACTTTTGCCAAAAGAATGGTAAATGGTCGGAGGTCCCCTACATTCAGGCTTTCTGGTATCTTTGCTTCCGCCCCACCCTCTGTTCCTCTTGCACCACTGCACAGGTGTTCCTGGACAAAGAAACTCCCTCACTGCCCTGGGCCCCTCTACCATCCTCCTCCTCCTTTTCAGACCCCGAACTGCCCGAAGAACTCTCCTTTCCACCCTCCCGACCCACTAATCCTCCACCCTATGCAGAACCTCAACCCCCTCCAGCTCCTCCTCTTCCTGGTCCCAACCTAGCCTCTCCTGTTAGTGCTCACACTCACTTGTGCTGTGCTCCTAAGGATGAAACCTCTCTCCTTTGTCCCCTCTGCAAGGTGGCTGGAGCAGAGGGCATTGTTCGAGTGCATGTTCCCTTCTCCCTCTCTGATCTATCAGCCATTGAAAAACACCTAGAGTCATTCTCCACCAATCCTACTGCTTACACCAAATAATTTCGCTACCTCACCCAGGCATACGACCCCACCTGGCATGATATCTATATAATCCTTTCCTTCACCCTTACTCCAGATGAACGTGACTGCATTTTTATGGCGGCCTTGGCACACGCTGATCAGGTACATCTGACAAACAATCAAATGCCAGTAGGTGCGGCAGCAGTCCCCGAAGCTGACCCTAATTGGGACTATCAAATCGGTCAAGATGGCTGCCACTGCTGAGACCAAATGCTACAGTGCCTCCTAGCAGGCATGCAAAGCGCAGCCCAAAAGGTAGTTAATTATGTTAAGTTAAGGGAAATAACTCAGGGTCCTACTGAGAACCCAGCCACATTCATTGACCAATTAACTAATGCTGTGATCCTTCATACCCGGCTGGACCCGGCCTCTTTAGCAGGGGCTACAGTTCTAACCACCCATTTCATCTCTCAGTCTGCGGCTAACATTACAAAGAAACTTAAAAAAGCAGAGGAGGGCCCCCAAACTCCCATACGAGATCTGGTAAACATGGCATTTAAAGTTTTTAATGGCCGAGAGGAAAAGGCTGAGGCAACCCGACAGGCTCATCTACACCAAAAGGTAAGCTTCCAAACTCAAGCTCTTGTGGCAGCCCTGAGTCTGGCAGCCCACCAGGCACCTGCTGAGGGGGGGTCCATTGAAGCACACCAAAAACTCAGGAGGTGTTCCGCCTGGGCACTGCTTCAAGTGCGGTCAGGAAGGACACTGGGCACATTACTGTCCATGTCCCCGACCACCTACCAAGCCCTGCCCGGAATGCAAGCGGCTGGGACATTGGTGCAGCGAGTGCCCGTCCCAGACTATAGGGCCACCCCCCCACACCTCTATGTGGATGGCAGGCCGGTCTGCAGGAAGCAATCCCGTTGCTTGAACTCCTCAGCCTTCTGGACAACTGACGCAACCCAGACTTGAGAACCCCATTCACCGTTGCCGAGCCCAGGGTAACGCTGCAGGTAGCAGGTAAGTCCATTTCCTTCTTAGTGGATACGGGGGCTACGTATTCTGTATTGCCTTCCTACTCAGGGCCTAGCATACCTTCCCAGGTTTCAGTCACAGGAATTGATGGAACGCCATCCTGTCCTAATCAAACCCACCCTTTAGCCTGTGTCCTCGAGGGACAGCCCTTTTCTCACTCCTTTTTAATCATACCCTCATGTCCAGTTCCCCTTTTAGGATGAGATATACTCCAGACTGTGGGGGCCACTCTCCAGCTCTCTGGCCCCCAACACTCAAGCCCATTACCCACCCACCTCCTACTGCCCCTCCTAACCGACACCACACCCTGTCTTAACTCCTTACCCCAACCCCCTATCCCTCCTGACATAGTCAATCCCTCAGTATGGGATACCTCCAAGCCTGTAATAGCCAAACACCACACCCCAGTGAAAATACTTCTCAAGGATCCTGCCCCCTTTCCCTCACGTCCTCAGTTCCCTATCTCAAAAACCCATTGTCAAGTCCTAAAGCCTATTATCACCTTCCTGCTAGCTCAGGAACTACTTATTCCTACCAGTTCCTCTTGTAACACTCGTATCTTGCCGATCCGAAAGCCGTCTGGCAGCTACCGCCTAGTTCAGGACCTGCGCCTTATCAACGAGGTGATAGTACCCCTCCACCCTGTAATCCCCAACCCATAAACTCTATTATCAAACATTCCCTCCACTACCTCCCATTTTACAGTTCTCGACTTCGAGGACGCCTTCTTTACCATCTCCCTTCACCCTGAGTCCTACTTTCTCTTTGCCTTCACCTGGACCGATCCTGACACCAACCTGTCACAACAGCTCACCTGGACGGTCCTGCCTCAGGGATTCAGAGACAGCCCCCACATTTTTGGACAAGCCTTAGCAACTGACCTTAGCTCCTGTCCCCTCCAACCCAGTCTCCTTCTCCAGTACGTGGATGACCTATTACTCTGTAGCCCCTCCCTTTCCATGTCTCAACAGCATACTGCCACTCTCCTTAACTTTCTAGGATCTCAGGGATACCAGGTATCTCCTTCCAAAGCCCAGCTATCAGTCACCTCAGTGGTCTACTTGGGCATGTGCCTAACCCCCAAAACTAAAAGCCTAACAACAGATCACCGAAAGGTGCTTCTTTCACTACAGCCCCCGGAGACGGATGACCAGATTCTCTCCTTTTTAGAGTTTGCAGGATTCTTCCACCACTGGATACCTAATTTTGCCTCCCTAGCTAAACCTCTGTATGTGGCTGCTAAGGACACACCCACGGGACCCCTCTCCCATCCTGGGGTTGTAAAACAGGCTTTTAAAACCTTACAAACTGCTTTGTCCACAGCACCCCCACTCCAACTGCCAGATCTCAACCGTCCCTTCCACCTGTTCACTAACGAAAAACAGGGTATTGTGGTCAGCGTCCTAACCCAACCCCTGGGCCCCATATATCGTCCTGTAGCCTATTTATCAAAGCAACTTGGCCCTACAGTCAGGGGATGGCAGTCTTGCCTGCAAGCCCTGGGAGCGGCAACGGAGCTTACCAAGGAATCCCTAAAACTTACCCTGGGCCAGCCCATCTCAGTGTTCTCTCCTCATCGACTAACCAACCTCCTCTCCCACAAATCTCTCGCTCACCTGGGGCCCTCTCGCCTGCAGGAGTTTCATCTACTCTTTAGTGAAAATCCATCAGTTAGCCTTCATCCCACTTCTCCACTCAACCCCGCTACTTTACTTCCCCTTCCATCCCATTCCCCCTCAGCCCATTCCTGCCCTGAACTAACAGATGCATTTGCTAAACCTTGGGAGGGCTTGTCTGACCTTCCTCTACCTAACCCAGACCTTACCTTCTATGTAGATGGGAGTTCAATAGTGACAGCCGAGGGGCGACGAAAAGCCGCCTATGCAGCAGTCACAGATTCAGCCACTCTCAAGGCACGTCGCCTCCCCAATGGAACCACAGCACAAAAGGCAGAGCTCATTGCCCTAACCCGGGCTCTCACACTAGCACAGGGGAAGCGAGCAAATATCTATACTAACTCAAAGTATGCTTTTCTTATTATCCACTGCCACTCTGCCCTCTGGAAGGAGCGGGGATTCCTTACCACAAAGGGGTCCCCTATAATCAACGCTACCCAAGTCTCTAATCTCCTGCAGGCCCTGTCACTACCCAAAGAAGTTGCTGTCATCCACTGCTGAGGGC